CCCAACACTGGCAGTAGGTCCGAAAATGTTATTGTTGTTCATGAACTACTAACAGCATTTTCATCTCTATAACCCACGCTGCACAGACGCTAGAGCTCAGTCGGTCCGCCAACATTCGTACGTACCTCAACACAAAAGAAAATGTAAAATACGGGTGAGCCTGGACCTTGGATTAGCGTAAAGTTGAAACTAATTGCACCAAATACCGTCCGTCACACGACGAAGCCAGGTGTTTTTAATTTGCTTGCCAACAGGAGTGTATGGCACCTAGCGACCGCATGGTGCTAGGTATAAGGACCAGACATCTACTACGAACCGATTTACCTCAGGAACCCGCTACCTACGCATTCTAAATTTTTTTATTTGGTATGTAACATATCTGCTACGTCATGCATTGAAGGGTTAAAGGAAACGTGCATCCACGGATTGCACCAGGCTGTTTACGGGATGACTCAGGCGTAGTCTATGGATAGTGTACCAGCACAGACCTTGGGTTTGACGGGATAAGATAAGGAAACAGAGTTTCAATCGATTCACAGGTCAAAGGGGGCAGTCGCTAGTTTATGGTCAAGCAACATCAGTCTCAGTTAGATAAAAGGGAGTCCTCTCACCCATTCCCTCAGAGGTGATGTCGTCTGTGGATCCAACTTGCTGAAACCTTCCATCTCCCTTCCCTCATTTAATCCTTTGAGAAGTATGGACGAGTTAACACGTTCTGACCTAGGAGGCTCAATGGGAGGGATAACTTGATTTGATTTGAGATTTTATTCAACGCGAGGGCGTCACCGAAGTAAGTTGCTAAGCCACATTGATTGAACCAGATTCGGCATCTATTAGCAATGGGGATAAAAAAATGTTACACATGTACTTCCAGGCACCCTGATAATCCAAGATCAAGTTCGTCCATGCTCTTGTAAAAACATCAAGTCTTGATTATTCACATGATCTGAGACTAGAAGTACTTACAGCCTGTCATATGTTGCCATGCTGAGAAATGCTGCATGGGCATTATTTGTTCCTCCTAGTGTTTGCCCATTAAGAAATAATCAGGTGACTTTGTCAACCAAAGCTGCAAAATTGTTAAAGAAATTGAGTAGCAAAAGCTTTAACAGGAAGAAGCATCTGGGATTATAAATCAGGAAACATCTTTATTTCAATAATCTCTGCCAATTTTTGTCACATAGTAACAGAGTATGACTAGACACTGATCACTGTAAATCATTGTTGGCATTGATATCATGGAAGAAATGAAGGAACCAAGTGCTTGTTCCATACTGCACATACCAAATAACATGCAACCAGATAAAGCTTAATAGTTGTCCCACACTATCAGGGGAGATCTTGTGCTCTCAAGTATAATATTCAAAAGCAAGTCATCAAAAAAACCTCTATAAAAATCACTGACATGGATTGGATTCAAAGCATTGAATGCAATGGGAATGGACCTAACAAGGATACAAAAGGGAGGAAACTCATGAATGGGGTTCTGACTCCAATTCAGTTTTCTTCTTCAACAGTGCATGCAACCTGGTGAGGAGGAAGTGTTTATCCTTTCCCTCAAGAATAAGATGCTCACGAAGCATGGTCAGTTTGGCACGTCGTGCACCCGCAACAGCCCAGTAATAATAAAGCATCAGGGAAAGCAAGACAATGACTGGGATAATGAAAGCAGCTGTGTTCAAAAAAGAAATTACATCCAGAGTCCATTTTGGCCAAGATGAAACTGTAGTCACAACAATATCCCACATGTATTCCTGTCCTTGAAATGGACCACATGCCCGGGATGGATTGATGGATGCAATCATATATCCAAGAGGAATGGCAATGATGATAAATGAAACAAGGAGAACAGCAAAGAAATACGAGTTGGTTCTTGATGCTCGGTAGCCAGTGGTGGGGGGAACACAAATGATGTAGAGGTAAAATTTCATCATGTAGAATAGGAAGCAGAGCTTGAACAAAGAAATGACAGGGATGAGGGGTGAGAAGAAGGTTCCTAGCCAACACAAAGTCTGTCCATAAACGAGATCCAAAACCTGTTGCGGCAAATCAAACTGAACTTCTAGGATGGCCTTCATGGTTTTGGAAGAAAGGCAGCGAGTAATCATCGAGCGGGGCAAAGCAAGAAGGCAGAGAGTTATTGCACGGATAATGAAATCAAAGAGAACCAGTCTATACATTTGTTGCCCCACATATGTCTCCCAGCATAATGGAGTTTTGCAAGATTCATCAACACATCCATTGTCTGGAAGTGTGCATTTGATCATGCTGTGGAATGAAACAAGCAAGAAAAAAATGGATGATATCCGGACAGCCAGCGTCCGGATCAATAGGACTTTGATGACAGTAAGGGGAGCATATTTCTCAACACGAATTGTGCTTGAGAAGAACATGGGTATCACCATGTTCAACATTGTGATCACAAAAGTTGGGAGATAACTGTAAAAAATGGTTGGAATCCCATCAATGGTCTTCTCATCAGTTGAGTTTGACAATTTATCAAGAGAATATCCAGCTGAGACAAAGATGAGAAACCCACAACCACCAAGAATCCCCAGGGCCACCAGGCTCATGCAGATACGAATTAAGTACAGTGCGATTCTCTGCCATTTGGTGCGTCGGCGAATGCTCTCTCTCAAACGCTCTGCTGAGATCAAACTCTTGACTTCATTCATGATCCCTCGCTTTTTGGTGAGAGCTGCTGACTTATCGAAAATGCAGAAATCCCAACCAGCAAAAAAGATGTTGCAATACTCATTAAAGCTTCCTTTGGAGATCATTAGGGATTCCTGGAATCCTTTGGCAGCGGAATGGACTATGAGCAAGAAAGTGAGCAAGAAGATGAAGAAGACTGTGCCCATGTATGCCAGAGGGAAATTATATGTCAACTCTGATCCAACTATATTTAGATAAATATTTGGATAAAAGCCATAAAACAAATATGTGCGCTCCAGCCACCCAGTACCCTTAACTGCATCACTGACCTTATCCAATAGGTCTTCACCTTCTTTGTATTTCTCCACTTCATCTATATATTGCTTGGAGCAATCAGTGGCATTTGGAGTGGTATATTGATCATCTTGCACAACAGCCACAGGGACCATGATGAAGATGACTACGAGGACACCAAGCAGAACATTGAGCAATAGTAGCCAGCGGAGAAATACAAAGTATGAAACTATGCCAGTCCCATAATGTCCCTCAATTTGTCGTAAAGATGAGTGGAAGGGTGTGACCCAATGCTTCTGCTCCTGGAAGCGAAGAGCCAAGTTCTGGCGAGCTTTTCTTCCTTGCAGACTGAAGCCTTGAAATCCAGAACTCTTCAAGATGTGGAATTTACTCTGCAATTGGATATCATATGGAGTTGCTGATCAATTTCTCCAATGATAATGCATGCATGTCATAAAACTTAGGTCTAGGCTAAGGCTTACTTTGATTTTTCTCTGATGTTCTCGCTTCCTAGCCATAGGTAAGGCCATTGACTTGATGCCCTGAAGCTGCTCCCATACATCTGCTTCATTGGTCACATCCTCTGTAAAAGAAAATTAAAAAAACAACAGTCTTAGGAAAACTGACATGAAATCAAAAAGGCCAATCGTGGCATAATCAACTTGAGGAAGGAGGTATTTTGCAAGAAACAGACCTCCTGACAAATCTGGCAGGGTCTCATAGTTGAGCTCAGCTGTAGGTGACTGACGACGGTTCACACCTGTCTTATAAAGTGAGGCTCGGCGTACATTCTTTCTTCTCACAGCTGAAACAAAAACATGGGGCAAAACCTATTAATAAAATAATTAACAGATTAACATTAAGATAGGAATCTGAAGGATCAAAATGAGATGCTGGGGGCAGTAAGTCATGAATATGCCCATGGGAGGAGGAGGTAGTGGCACAGATGAACAGTGTTTTCCACTTGAGTTAAGACAATTTTTCACATGACTCAGACACTCATGCATGAGGAACATCTCGTGTATAGGTGTCTGAGTAAAGGGGAAAATTGTCAAACTTAAGCAAAAAACACTGTAGTACCCTGTTTAGGGATCAAATCTCCACCACCACAGGAGTGCTTCCATTGATTGCAGTTAATGACACCTTCCACAAATGGGGGGGGGAGGGGGAGGTGTTTTTGGAGTAGTGGATCTTCAGGAAGTAATGCATTCTCTGTTTTCCACTACCTGGTGGGGGAAAAATTCAATCCAAAAACAGTGTAAGGTTTGACCTCAGTCCCAAAGGGGAAAGGGAGGGGTCGGATATTGAATGACTTAAGCTTCCACAGGTTTGCTGCGCCTTTGATTGGTAGCCTAGCCATATGGGAAATCAGACGCTCTTACTTGCACCAGGTTGCCGGCTAGGAAGCATGGCTTCAACATCATCTTGACTTGGTCGCTTCCCAGTCTCTCTTCGTCCTGTGCTGTTGTCACTGTAGGCTTCTTGGTAGAATTCCCCTCTAGCTTCCTCCCATCCCTCAGGCTTCCCTCGGCCCCCTGAGCCCTCTCTCTTCCGTCTCCGTTCTCTCTCACGTACCATCATCTTCTAGGCTTGGAATGTCACTCAACCAGGCCTTGATGGCATTCAGTGGGCTCTGGACTCAATCAATGTTGACATGTGAGGGCACCAAAAGACTGCGTAGGTCCTTTCCACAGTATCCTCCATAGCAGTGACTTCATGTATGAACCTCTGTTGTCAGCGAAGGGAATCGGTAGTTCTTGGTTCGCATTTACAGATGTCACCGTAGTCGGACGCCTACATTCGTTTTCTTCGCTTTTATTTCCGTGAAACTGGGCCCCACTCATGCGGCAGGTCAGAATCATAATGAGCATAGAATTTTCGCTAATTTGTCAGAGTTGGGAATTAATGCTCTTACCACTTTAGACATAGCAAAAGAACAGGTCGCGATTTGTGGGGCAACTTCACGCAGGGACGTAGCCAGGGGGGTGTCCTGGGTGTCTGGACACTCCCCGAAAAGAAGCAAGATACCATGAAACAAGGAGCATGAGAGTGGGGGGGGGGGGGGGGGGGGGAAACCCCCCCCCCCCCCCCCCCCTCCATTTTGCTTCCATTGCTCTACCAGTTTTTGAGTTCCAGTTGCAAACCATGATTTAGGAGTAGCTTTTACCAACTACATTATGACTGACTCGAGGTCAGCCCTTGACCCATATCTCTTTTCATGCAAATACAAAATTTTGGGAAGAGAAGGGGGCTATTTTGAATTATGAGGTGGGTGGGGTCGAAGTCTCAAAAGAACATTCGAGGTTTTCCTCGTTCCTCCCAGTCCCTCACCTTCCTCGGCCATTTCGTCATCTCGTGAGCCTGAAAAAAGGCCTCACAAGACACCCCCCGAAATTGATTCCTAGCTGTGTCATTCACTTCACGTGAAGCTGTTGCCGCACAGTATCCGACAAATCGTCGCAACAAAATTAAGGATTGACGTTTCGTCGCCTAGAGGAAGTCGAAAGTATGATCAGTCGCGGAAAACATTTTTCATGAACGATATTTGTGGTGGTTCATACTCTTAGCCCAGCTATCATTCCTGTTGAGTCATCCTGGGGAATGCCAAGTATTAATACATCAACTACATAGATAACGATAACGACGTTCGAATACGATGGTTTCCTTGAACCTGGTCTCACGCTATAGAAAAAAGTAGCTGACCATATTACCAAGCGTCATCACAACTTTATGATGGAGTGGTGCTATCGTGAGAAATTAGTGTTTCCCTAATGCTAACGCCTTTTTTTTTCACCAAAACTATATTAGCATTTCCCAAATCTCTGCTAACATTTCCCAACACGTAACATCCAATTTTGTTGCTAAGGTACTATAAAAAAAAAAAATTAATACGATTTATTTTAATGTACCCTTTCAAAACCTAACGCACGGATAAGGGATGAACGCGAGCGAATCCGGTTTGTCAAGCAAAACTGGAGACGGGTGGGGCAATAAGAGACTCGATCTTTGAACATCTTCGTCCTTTTTGTACTTGTTTTCACGAATTATACATACTGCATGGGCTGCTATATTGCCAAGAGATTTTAAAATTTTTCTTAAGATTTACTTTTCCAAGGTAAGGCTATGAGCAATTTATTCATAAGGAGTTGAATGACAGGAGCGGGTGCTGGAAGACGAGAGGAGAAAAGCTCCTTCGGCCTCTGCTTACATATCATCCAGACCACATAGAATGTGTCTTCTATTGAAATTCATCGGGTGACATGCTCCAGATCTGTCTAACTTTAAACTGATCTGATTTCGTAATGGGCGTCTATGGGAATAAGATTATCTCCATCAAACGGATTCCCTTAGAGGACTATTGTGAGATCAGATTAATTTAAGTTAAACAGATCTGGTGCATGTCACCCATTATTTGGCCTGATCTTTTCTTTCAGATGGTTTTTTGCTTAGTGTTTCTTTTTTCCCATAGTATCATTGATGAATCAGAGTATCAATATAGAGTTTGCTGCAAACTTAATCAGAAATTCCTTTGGTTTACGCCGAAGGAGACAGGTTACATTGCAGTCGCTCCGAAGGGCCGAGTTACCCCGTCCACTTTCAATTTCCGAAGTTTCTTACGAATAATTGATCATAGCTTTCCTTTGGTAGAGCGAATTCTGATGGAATTGCGAAGGCGTTGAAAAGGGAAATCAAGAAATTAAGAGCCGAGGGTCTTTTTTTGCCATACCCTGTAGAAGAGTGAGAGCAGACTTCAGACGTCTGGTCTCGCTATTTCTCCCTTCTATCCCTTCCAGACCATTGGAGTGTGCAAGCGGCCAACTTGTGTGTACTCTAGGTTCAGACCTCAGAGCAGGGGAGTTTCTGACAAACGTTTCGTTTCTGGCCTACTCTCCTTAAAATAATATCATGGGTGAATTTACGAGAAAAGCATGGAACTTTTTTTCAATTTATTTTGCATCACTAAAAAAGGGAAGATAAAACGATGAAACTGACGAAACAGGAATTGCTTATACCTTTATGTAGTTTCTCATGAACTTTTTTTGTTGCTAAGATTTCGTAAGAGGAAGCATATTTTCATGAGATTGGTGATGTCTTCGTCACGAGGCTTGTACTACATGAGAGCATTGTTGGCATACGCTTGGTAAGAAACCTGGGAAGAATATTTAAAGATGCCGTCAGTCATCCCATGTGGATGCTGGTGGAGTCGCTTAAATCCTTCATCGGACACGAAAAGGTATGCTCGAATCTCTTCAAGATAAACTGTTGAAATTCGCGATTGTCAAAGTTCTCATCAAATGCCTTGGGAACGGATGTCCTATTTATATGATCAAGAAATTTTTTGCAGTCGTCGAATCGCTCTCGGCAGAGGGTGAGTGCCTGGAGGGTGCAGGATAAATTAATATAGGGAAGTCTTTCACTTCCTGTTCCAAAATCTGTGCGGATGGCTTCATCAGATCGACCAGCTCTTCACTTCAAGCTATTGATCTTGGAGACTGCATCAAAAAGAGGTTTGCATGGTGCAAAGCGTGGTGGGCTTTGCTAGCGCGGTCATCAGTGTGAACTCTCTCTTCACCATATCTAACCTCACATCACTAGAAAGAAGGTGAGAAATCAACGATTTCTCACCTTATTTCGCCTACATACACAAATTCATTGTGGTGCAACTTACTCTTACGAGGGGCGTTCTGAACGTTTCTATTCTTAACATATTTCTTCACCACCAAAAGTGATGGACGTGCGTGGTCTGGAATGCGTATGTCTGGACATGTCAGGTGAATGCTCGTGGATCCACCCTCGTGAGGTACTTGGTCTACAGTTGATTACAGAATAGAGGATGGTAACAAAGTATCTTTAAAGCAGCAAGCGGTGATTGAATTATTAGCGAAAGGAGTATCCGTGGTGAACATTCGTGGACGTATGCAGAACGTGAACGTTATAATGGCATGAGTTTCGTGGAAAGGAGAACGTGTATAGGACGTTTGATAGCAGATATTACGAGAATCGAGGAGCTCCTGAGACCTTCCACAACGAGAAAACTAGCGAGGAACAAGCCTGTTATGACTTGATCGAGGTCAATAGGCGCATACACATTCGTGAAATTGTGGCCTAAGTGGCTCTCGGGAACGATGCAATGCACAAAATCGTAGTGACCACCTTGGGTATTCCGTACACAAGCACACCACTACGGCCTTCGAAATCCATTAATGAGATATTTCTCAACTCTTTCGCATATACCTATCGGAAAAAAGATATGAAGGTCGCAAGCCTCATTTGCCCTATATAGAGGAGCGCCAGAGACTGGATTCTGAAAAATTTAATTTAGCCTCATCCAAAAATGTGAGGCATGCGTCAAATTGAATCTACTAATCACTTTTTCGCCGGTCTTCTTCGCTTCCGAGAGTGGTGAGTCAAGATGATGGCCTAATCTTGAAATGGCCACTGCCAGCTTAAAAATTGAAGACACCAACCTGTTGTCTCACGACGGTGCATTTTGTGCATAAATAGGGGTACTTTTGGTCAAGGAATTCTGTTTTGATGACAAATATATCTTCAAACTTTTGAAAATAAAGCAGAATCACATTTTCAAAATGGTTGCTAAACCCAGGCTCCAAAATGGCATTAACGACCATGGTGTAAATTGGAGTTGGTGGCAAATATGGTGACGAAATGTGACCAACTCCTATTTCGATACTAAACTCACCATGGATTTAAGGTCACAGAGTTCTGTTTTGATGTTCAAAGAACCTTAATGTGCACCAAGATTCAATGTGGCTGCCATATTTCAAAATTGATGCCATCGAGAAATTCATTCTCTCCTAGGATCTGGCGTGGCTCCCAACGAACGAACGCTCAGCTAAGGGCGAGCGCATGGGCCACTTTTCCTGTCAGATTAGCGTTGGCATTTTCAGCTAAAAGTTTCCAGAACCGATTCCCATTCCCAATAAAATACAGCGACTTCCACTTGCCTTTCTCCGTAATGAAAGGAATCAGCGCAGCGCAGCAGAATTTTCTCCAATTTGATTTGTTCCATATCACCACTCCATGCATTCAAGTTGAAATGTTAGAGGAGCGTATGGGAATATACTGATTGCTGTGAACGCACTATTCTTAGCTCTACTTCCGTCACTTCATCAGTTTATTCTATCCGAAGAAGGAAGTATTCGGAGGAGTTCTTGACATGCAAAACTCGATTCACTGGCGCACCTGGCAAGTCGAAATATCCTTTTGGCTTCCTATGTATTCCTATGTATGTTCCTCTTCATGCGTCTCCCCCGCAGGGAATGTAACTGAATTGAAACTGGCAAGTCGACATGAATTCCAGGGAGAAAGAGAAACGATTCAATCGTGCATACGGTCCAGGAAAGGCGTGTCTAAGAGCTGTTATGCTCTCCCTCAGCTAATCGACTGACGTCCTTCTCCATAAGTTCATCATTTCATGCTAATGGGAATCCTTTGTGGTGTGCAGGTAGGCATCATTGTAAGATGGCCTGAGAGTCACATTGAAAAATACTTGTTCTCACTTATTCGGATTTTATCGTTTTTTGGCTCGAATGCACAAACCTCCTTTAGTTAACGGTCCTCTAAGAATCCATGGACTCCTATGAGAGAAAAAGAGCTTTAGCTTAAAAGCCACTTTATCTCCTCCAAATTAGATTTGTGCATTCGGGCATTAATTTTATATTTTTATCTCTTGACTTTCATAGGTTATAAGGGCTATCTGCTTGTGTCAC